GTCACAAGCTGGCGGAGGGAAGGTTTAAGTTGGACATCAGGAGGCGCTACTTCACGGTCAGGGCGGCTAGGGTCTGGAACCAGCTTCCAAGTGAGGTGGTGCAGGCTCCCACCCTGGGGGTTTTTAAGAGGAGGTTGGATGACCACCTTACTGGGGTCATTTGACCCCAGTGCTCTTCCTGCCATGGCAGGGGGTTGGACTAGATGATCTGCTCAGGTCCCTTCCGACCCTAGAAACTATGAAACTAGGAGAAGGCCACCAGGAGAAGGAAAGGGTCATCTGGGGTAGGAAATTAAGGAAACATCAGGAGACCGAAGTCCATCCATGAAAAACATTGGGATCTTGGTTCAAGCCTCATTAGAACAACCTCTCTGTAACAAGTTAAAGCTCAAAAGGTCACCCACCACTTTCAACTTGATATGTGTGGGGAACCAGATTTTTCAAAAAAAGTGAGCTGAGATCAACTGCTTTGTTTTCTATATGCGACATAGCAGGAGCTGCATTGCTGCTCTCATCCCACAGGATGTTTTGCGTCCACTGCAGGACTCTTTATGGCACAGATTCCCTCCCCCCAACCCCCCCCAAAAAACAAAACAAAACAAAAAAAAAAAAAACCCCAGCAGGTATCTCACCTGCTACAGAAAAATAAAAAATGCTCTCTCTCCAGGAGAGGGCAGGGCTTTGTCTTCTCTTTTTGCACCTGTTTCACTAAGTCATGTCTCATTCAGCAAAGCCAGCAGAGAGCATGGAGAACAATCCTAGCAGAAGGCAGGAAGAGATGTGACAGAAAGGAGGATTTGCTGTGGAAGGCAAGCTCTATCCACTGCCAGCATCACAGTAACTAAATGCTGTGCATCTATAAGCAGAATATCCTTCTTCCTCCTCAGGTCTGGAAGGCTTTATAGGGGTCTAATAAAGGGTCTTGTCAACACAGATCCAGGAAAGCACAAAGGGAAGGTCTGATTGACCTGATGGAGAACTGAATTCCACTCTGGATGACTGTTCTACTGAGTACCTCGGGGTCTCTTCATAAATAAAATATAAATCTTATTTGTAAAAAAGAATATCCAAGTTCACACAGATCCATTATCCACTGGTTTGGCTCGGTCTGTTCAGGCAAATTGAGGTGGAGCATGTGGGATGAGGAAGTGGCAACACTGAGGCCTGGTAGACCTCTGTTCCAATGAGGAAAGTGCAGCAAAGGAAGCAAACACATGGAGTATTGACCTGCACTGCCCTGTTGGGTCCAGCCCGGCTACTCCCTCCTCTTCTGGCCTGTTGCTAAATCTCCCTGTCCTCATCGGAGCTGTCACTACTACTGCTGCCACTGCTGCTCCTGCTGTCGCTGCTCTCCTCCCGCTGTGCCTGACTTTGGGCTGCTGCCACCGCTGCTGCTGCTGCCGCCGCCGCCTCTCTCTCCTGCTGCTTGAGTGCTGCTGCCTTCTTCTCCTGTTCAGCATGGCTTTTCATGTGGGCACTGCGACTCTTCACCTTGTAGAAAACCCTAGGGACAAACACAAGCATGTAACAGTCTGCCCAATCCTCTTATCAGCATCTCCAGGTTGGAGTCAAACAGCAGGGCAGGACCATTCATCATCACTAGAAAGGATCTACTGCAATTATCACTACTTTTGCTCCTACTCCTCCCACAGCACAGTCCAAGGGACAGGCTCCTGACTCCCTGGGGTCAGTGCCCTAAGATCCTGTTTCAACTATCTGTCCAATGATCTCTTCCAAGGCTGCTGCTGATCTGCTGTGTGACCCTGGCCCTGTCCTTTCACTTCTCTTGGGCTCCTCACCTTTCACCTTATCTGTTTAAATTCTAAGCACTTTGAGAAAGAAGCTGACTCTTGCTCCATGTCTGTTCACTGCATGACACAGCAGGGCCTCAATTCCAGCTGGGGCTAGTGATGCTGCTCTAAGGCAAACACCTAATAAACAAGGAAACAACAGCTGGCACTCATCCTTGCTGAAGCTGTGAAGATATGAGCAGGCTTGGGTTCCTTCCCCCTTTCTTTCCTTTGTCTACTCCACCTAGTCTTTCCCATATTTCCCACATTCAAATTCTTAACTTACTGTCACCAAATACTCAAATGGAAGCTTGAAGGCCATTCAGAATCCTCTCCTATTTCTCCTGAACCAATATCCAGGCCAGAAATACAGCTGTGTAACTCCTTGTAGCAGTGCCTCAATGTCAAATACTCCTCCATGATACAGAAGAGTCTCTGTCAGTTCTCATCACCCTGCTCCCTTTAAATACAGGAGTAACTGCTGGTACTACAAAGCTCACTATTCTTTACGATTACATTATTTATGCAATGAACTGAATTTTCTTGGCATGAATAACACTGATGGCATCAGATGCCCAAACTCCTGGAAAATACAATGCATTTAACAGGCACAGGAGACTGGTGTAAATTTGATCACAACAAGTGTCCATCATTTACCTGACACCTGCTGCTACAGTAATGATAATGCCTGGTATTTCAATGGCATTGTTTATTTGACAAGTTCCTAGAGCACTTCATCAACTATTCAGGAATCGCTCCACCATTCAGTGAAATGTAAACACTGCTGAGATGGAACATAGCAGCTGTTTAACAGCACACATCAGCACTAAAGCCTACTATAGCTAATTGAAGCTGAAGGGAAAGTTCACATCAGCGGAATTATCTGAGCTGCAATCCAGCTAGGACAGTGGTGCTCAACCTTTTTCCCTGGTGGGCTGGACTGGCAGCACCCAGTCTATCCGTAGGCTGGATTCAGCCAACGTTCCCAATCCAGCCTCTGGGTGGTCACAGCAGGCACCACGTGGGTACACAAAGGGGCTGAGGGAGGGTGCCAGGGAAAGGACCTTGACCTTGACCATGCCTCATGGGAAAGAGATGAGAGGGGGTGTGACCAGGTCTTAACCCAGCCCCACAGGGAAAAGGGGCATGGCCCATCCCTGTGAAGGGAGAAGGGGATGTGGCCTAGCTGTAGAGGAAGGGGCATGGCCAGACCCTGATCCAGCCCCACAGCAAAGGAGGTGTGGCCCACCTTCAATGGGAGGGTAGGGGGTGGGGCAAGGCCAGGCCCCAGCCCAGCCCTGAGGGAAACGAAGGGGGCATGGCCCAACCTTGATCCAGAAGGGGAGTGGGCAGGATGTGGCCCAGCTGCACAAGGGAAGGGGTCACCAGCAGCCCAGCCCACTGCGCAGGGCTTGGGGATTTGGGGGAAGGGAGGGTGGCCATATTAATGGCCACTGCTCCCCCACCACAAATTTCCTGATGCATGGGGAGTTCCATGAGTCAGATGCAATGGCTGCATTTGGCCCACGGGCCAGAGGTTGAGCACCCCAGGGCTAGGACACTGGTATTCATATGCCTACTACAATGAAAAATGGCAAGCCCTTGAAGGCCACAAGTCATTAAGAACAGATAGTTTTGAAGCTCTGAAATCGGGAAGAGCAAGTCATGGGCAACTGGTGGCTCCTGAGTCTGGGGGGGCACCCGCAGAAGCCACTGGTGATCTCCCTCACGTGCCAGCAGCAGCGGTGAGAGCTAGTGAATTCCACCAGATGCCACTGGCAGCAGGGATGGCCCCGTCAGGGGGCGCATGTGCCCCCACTGCAAGTCACTTGTGGAGCGAGTCGTCAGCAGCACAGGGCCAAAGGCATTCAGATGCTAACATTGTTCCCACCAGTTCCTAACCAAGTGTACAAAGGAAACATCAGGCTGAGAATGAGCTGCAGTGGTGATGTAGAACAATCCTGTTACTGCAAATCCATTCAACTGCTCTTACCTTCCACATTTTTTACATGGAAACGTGCTTTCTTCATTTTGCACTTTAGCTGTGAGGTCTGGCTTTATTTTCTGTTTCCGTCTCCTCCTCTGCCCTGGGGGAAGAGTCTTCCGAAACTTAACTGTTGCTTCTTTAGGCTTTCTTCCAGTTCTACCACTGGCTTCTCCTGGTGCATTAGCCTCATGGCTGCTTAAACTGATGACCTCATTGACCTTCACAGCAAGAGAAAGTTGTTAAAGCAAAGTGAAAATGAAAACCCCTTGAAGAAAGGATGGTGGCTGCACTTCTAACCTTCAATTATCCTATCCTAGTCCAAGATCTTGCCCACAAGAAAGAATCTGTGGGATTTCTAACATACCCACCATCATTCCTACTGGAGTAGGAATCACAGGGAGTTGTGCAGGATTCTAATATTATAAAAGCCTTAGTCTATCTGTAACGTTTTATTCTCATTCCGATTGGCGGGCTGAAACAACGAATCTGAGTACTCCGAGAGCATTTGGACAGGAGACAGTGCGGACACAGGGGACAGAGCGGGGGGGGGGGCAGCACAGGCTACCCCACCCTCCCTGCAGGCAGCGGTAACGGGGGG